ATATTAATTGACTGCATTATACTGCTGTACTGCGAAATTAGCGTATTGTTAATTTATGAGTGCTGAGGATTGAGTGCTAAAGCATGAAAATGAGGGCATTCCTAAAGAGTGGGGAATTAGGTGCAGCTAGTGAGGATGACTTCTTCTGCCCGGACAGCCGCTGTCATCGAAAAAGCCTAGACTATCCCTAAAATCCGCGGAGATCTTGACCTCACCCTCAATTTCTTGCGCCGGGCTTGCATCGAGTCACCGAGTAGCGGTGTTCACATTTCTGCAAGGCAATTCCGCCTAAGGATATTGGAGGGCCTGCAAAGTGACACAGCATATCATATTTATTGTAGAAAGCAGAAGCAACCGAACTGATTCACTTCTCGTGCGAGGCTCCCCGTTAGCTCATTCTCACCGCGCTTTCCTAACATTTCCTAGAGCTATGCAATTTGCCTTGCGAGTAGGAAATTTAAGAAATAGAGTACCTCTTTCTCGAATATTATAATTATAACGATAACTTCATCGTTCTGCGAACTTCTCTTTTTAACCGCAATCATGTATTACGTTCAAGTCTTACAAGTCCCTATTTAGGACGCATCCACGGTCGACGGGTCCGAGTGGAAAAACCTGATCTCGCTCTTCAAGGGAGCCGATGGAAATGTGAGCACCTTTTGGGCTGTGCAAGAAGAAGACAAAAAGGTTGCTGGCATCGCAGTGAGTACTTACTCCCCCCTTCTCTGAATGTTATCAAGTCGCTGATTGTACCTTGAATAAGGCTGGAAGTCTCTCGACAATCAGGCTGCTTTCTTCAAGAAAATCGAGCTGTCTAAGGCTATCAAAGCTGTCACTTCGAAGTCTATCTATAACGACATGGTCATCTTCCTCGTCGATCCAGCGCCTACTCTAAGCGCTCCAGCGGTCGAGTTGGTCTCTTGGATTTATCTAGTCAGCAAGATCGACAAGGAACGAGAGGACAAGGTCGCTTACGGCTTCTTAAAGTTTGCCGACGCGATCAGCTCCAGGGCTCCCGAGGCTGCTGGCGGTCTCGTTAGCGGCTGGGGTCAAATGCCTTTCGAGCACGAGGACGTCGAGTCTCGACGATTCACTTCTTTCATCGGTTGGAAGAGTGTTGAGGACCACTACAAGTGCAAGGAGACGCCTCCCTTCCTTGAGAACATACATTGGTTGATGGAGAACGACGATTCGGGAATAGAGATGGTGCATTACAAGTATGTGGATTCGGCATAACGGGACTTGGTAGCCAAGGCCTAGGCTAGTTGAGTGCGAGAACAGCTACTAGGCACAGGTATCTTGATCTTACATCAAGCACAAATTGGTCTGCACCGAAAAAAATAGAAAGGATCACAGCCTCGATCAACTTATGTATGTGATGCAAGCGCCAAGTGATTACAACCGTTTTACCAGCCGCCCCAGACTCCTTACAGTAGTTGATCCTTACAGTAGTTGAAATCGCAAGTTCCATTCGTACGCAAACTATAGGTAGGCTATAGAATCCTCATTGTGTGCGACCACGACCAAGACTCGAATTTTCTCCTGCCCGCACGATAGAATTTGGCAGGCTGATATCACACTACTGTTGAGGGCTGAATGGCATCATTGGTTCCTCATACTTAGCACAAATGAGGTCATCGACCCAGACTATTGTGATGCCCCTTCCTGAAATTCTCAGGGCCAAAGTTGAAAAGTTGAGAGTTGATACTGGGAAAGATGAAGCTGAGGAGTCCGTGACCTTCGGAGACAAGCTCGCTCCCGCGGATTGGAGTAGGGCTCTCATGGGACGTCCAGATTGATCTATATGTTGTAGCGCCATTGTTTCTGTTGCTGTCGAATGTACTATTGCCTCAGAATGATTTGTGGCAGGCTTTGAGGGCAATTTGTACATTATTGTGAATATTCCTAGGATCGCGAAAATAGCGTGCCGTGATGTCAAAAGGATATCTGAAAGCACATTCTCGATGCGATGTTGATGCTCCTTCAACAATACACCTATAATATCGCCGATGCTTCGTTGTCGATCTTTCAAGCTGCGAACGATGCGTGAAACTGTCAGACAGAAGCCGAATAAGTCCTCCAAACTCGGTTGATCCGCACAAAGCTGCAGAAATGCTGGTAAAGGTTTGAAGCAAGTCTCTCTCAAGAGGTTGAGCTGCGCAGAGTAGAAATGGAATAAAACTGCATTTGCAATACCATCAGCGTTATTGCTTCCGAACATTGCCTCGTGTAGCTGGGCGTGTTGGCTAGCATCTCCTTGCATCGATGCGTTATGTGCTTCTAGATCGTTCAACATGTTGACCCCAGAATCCGTCGTAAACTTTACGTGTAAACATGTATCAATTAAAGCTCGATAATATATAGATCAAAAAGACAAAGCGCCAGTACTCATCAAATTTCGGGGGTTTACTTGAGAACCAATCTGTAGCTATTGAAAAGCTGTCAAACGATGTAATAATGTAATAATGGAAATCAAGATTGTCGACTGCCAAACGTGAATAAATATGCAGAAGGAAAGCACAAACATTTCTAAGCAACATATAGAACATGGAAAAGACAAGAAAGATTAGGTTATAAATAATATAGAGAACATCGCTATAAAGCTAAAAATACGGTTGTGTGGCTAATCAAGATTCCTGCTCTATGATATCGTTCGGTGTCCCGAAAAAAAAAAAGCTTAATAAATATTATTATTAGCGGAGAAATTTAAAATAAAAAAGCTATAATAATTAATATTAAAATATTATTATCGTAATTTATATTTATTAATAATTAAATTAATAAAAAAAAATAAAAAAATAAAAAAATAATTATATATATCAGCTATAATTTTCACATTTTATAGCATATATTACGTCGAGATTAAATTTCTATTCTCCATGACTTTTATTAAGTTAAACGCGTTCTGGGCCATTCGTTGAAGAATGAGATGATCATTGGCGTTGCGTTAAAGCTCGCCGGACCATCCCCGTTTCCATCCCCTCCTCCAAAAGGTCCACAACCGGGGGGTTGGTTATCGTCGTTGAGGAACGTTGCCGGCCAGCTGTGACTGACATCGGGTCCGTCGAAGACGTGCATCACGAGCCCGTCGGTGGTACCAGACCCAAATATGAAGGCGGTTGCCTCGGACGTTATCGCAGACGTCGTGTTCGTGACGGGCAGATTGTCCCTGGCGGCCCATTGCTGGATCCAGTGAGGGATTGTTGGCAGACAGAAGTTATCTCGACCCAATCCGCCGTTATACGGAATAGTTGTGTCACTACCGCCGTGGAATTCCAGGATCGGCGGAACTCGGGATACGACGGTAGGCGTCCCGTTCAGGGTCACCGTAGCAGTCGGAGTACATGCGTGACTGACCGGGGGGTCACCTGACAAGTAAAGATCCGTATCGACCACAGCGGGGTTGCACGTTCCTCCCGATTCTGTCGGGGTACCGGCGGTAGTGTCGTTAAACGTGTAGAAAGCCCCCGAGACTGGCGCGAACGCGGCGAAACGCCCCTCGAGGGAAGTATCGCAGGCCAGTACGTTCAGGAACCCGGCCCCATCGCTCTTCCCCGAGCCAAAGATACGCTCCGAGTCGATGCTGAGACTTGCGTTGATCTGATCTAGAATATTGCCGGTATAACCTGTATCGTTATCTATGATGTTTGGTGTACCCTCCCACGTAGTCTGTCTGGCGGTCAGTTCTGTCCTTGAGATCTTGTCACCTTGGAGAACTTACTTTGTGTGCTTCTGCATAGATCACAATGTAGGGCGTGGAACCTTGAAAGACTGGGTCCCAGAAGCGGTCCAGCCCGGCCTGCTCTGTGGCGTTCCGACTGGCACCATGGAAAGAGAGAATGACGGGAAGCGCGGACTGGCTGGGACCTCCCGTATAGGCCGGCGGCAAGAACTGGTAGAAGGTTCTAGTAGGTTCGGCGGTGAGCGACAACGTAGTCAGAATTGGTATGTCGCTCACGATTGACGGGCATACAGAGGTACTAGAAGTAGTGGTCTGGGCACTGGAGAGTGTTGCGAGCGCGAGAAACCTCGCGAGGAGCGAGACAAAGGAGAAGAGCATAGCTAAGATGGATGTTTGCAAGGGTTGGATGATGATTTGAGTCAAGTTGTGTAGATCGTAGGCCAAGACAAAGAAAGCACGGCTTCACCGGGCACGCTCCCTAGATATATACACACTCAAAGTCTTTGAGCACCCCGCGTCAGCGTCAGCTTACTCGGCGTGATACAAGCTATTGGGTCACGATATGACAAAGTCCATTTCCCTGTTTAACGCTGTGCTCATCGCCCGTTATAGTATACCCCGCTTCTTATTATTGCTGACGGGCGCACCCGCTACAGATGTGAAGGAGGTGTATATAATGGCACTTGACCTATACAGTAGCTCCACTAACTTAAATTAGGCCAGCGGACGCAACTTTTTACTTCGTAACGAAACAGCCCAGTCCCCCGCCTTTTCACGCACACACCCTCGATTCTATGAAAAGCTGGCTGAAACAATCTAGAGCGTCAGGCTTGGACGACCTGGAACTTGCCGACTTCTCGGATACTGGCCGCAGTGTCAGAACGCTGCAGCGATTCGACGAAGGAGAAAAAATTCTCACCATTCCACATGGCGTTCTCTGGACAGTCAAACACGCATATGCTGATCCCTTCCTTGGGCCAGCCCTTCTCTCTACACGGCCGCCCTTGTCTGTCGATGACACCTTGGCTACGTATATTCTCTTCGTCAGATCGTGCGGGTCGGGATACGATGGCTTGCGAAGCCATGTGGCGGCGCTGCCTGCGAGCTACACTTCGAGCGTCTTCTTTGCGGAGGCCGAGCTGGAAGTTTGCGCGGGAACTTCGCTCTACACTACCACGAAGCAACTGGATCGACAGATCGAGGACGATTATAAGGCATTGGTAGAGCGACTATTTAGACGACATCAAGAACTATTTCCACGCGACAAATTCACCATCGAAGATGTAGGTATTACCAAACGCGAAAGATGCTGCGAATCGACTACTGACACTTTTTTCCCATCTTTCAGTACAAGTGGGCTCTCTGCACCGTGTGGAGTCGTGCGATGGATTTTAAGCTGCCCGATGGAGATTCGACTCGACTTCTGGCGCCCTTCGCGGACATGTTGAACCACTCGCCTGAGGCTAAGCAGTGTCACGTCTACGATGGCTTTTCTGGAAACCTCTCTGTTCTTGCCGGGAAAAACTACGGATCGGGAGATCAGGTACGTTCATCTTGTTTTGCTACCAATTAGTGCGCTTACCTAGAAGTGTTCTTCCAGCTTTTCATCAATTATGGACCTCTTCCAAACAATCGTCTTTTACGTCTCTATGGCTTTGTCGTACCCGGTAATCGCAATGAGAGCTATGATCTCGTTCTCACGACGCATCCCATGGCGCCATTTTTTCGAGCAAAAGCAGAAACTCTGGTTATCGTCTGGGCTCGATTCGACCTCTACCATCTCTCTTACGCTCACCGACCCGCTGCCAAGAAGCGTCCTTCGATATCTCCGTATTCAACGGTTGAACGAATCGGATCTTGCTATAATAGCGGCTCATCAAAGCGATGCTGCAGTTGAGAAAATCAGCGATTCAAACGAAGTGGAAGTCCTGGGGTTTCTGATAGAATCGATCTTTGATCTTCTCGACGGTTTCGGAACTCAACTCGTAAAGCTGGAGGAGCAGCTCGTGGAGGGGTTCTATTCTCCGGGAGGGAACGCATGGTCGGCGGCGCACGTCAGCTTGGGTGAACAGCGGGTGTTGAGATTGACGAGGAAGACAACGGAGGATTTGTTGGCGACGGTAGAGAGCGGAAGTGGAAATGAGCGGGGCCTCTTGTCGGCACCGCCCCAATGCGCGAAGTGCGAAAAGGTTTCTGTGCAGTTGATGCGCTGCGGAAGGTGCAACAAGGTTACGTACTGCGGGCGGGCGTGCCAAGTCGCCCATTACAAAGAGCACAAGGCGATGTGTCAAGCTACAGCTTCTGGGATTGGTTCTGAGAGGAATTAAAAGAGAAGTTTTGACCAGCCCAAAAACAAACTTGGAAAGAAAATCTTGAGCCCAACTCTCGCTACAACGTAAACTTCACGCAACCTAAGTCTTCGCTACTAGAATTAAGACTCGGCTGGAGGTGGTTGACTCAAGGTACCGGCTGACGCAGTCTGAATTCCGACTGCCGTAAGGCCGTCTCATCAAGAGTCCCAATTTATTATGCAGAATTTGGATTGTTTGAATGCCTGGTCCCTTCTCTCACCGTAATTTGGCACCATGGACACATCGAAGATCCCGATTACGCAGTACGCTTCATCTTCTTCAATAGTCGTATTACGGTGATCTGCCCAGGATCTCCGCTCTTTAATACTAAAATCTGACAATGCATCACTTTAGAGAGCTTTGTTTGCGATGCCGGTAATTTCGCATAAGTGTCACGACTCTCCCCTTACCCTGGTAAGGTCACGTGGGTTGGTATGGTGAATGAAGTAAAGTAAGGCAATGATATAGTAGTTAGGAAAACTTAATCAAGTTGAGCACAAGGCTCCTACCTAAGGGCCTCAAGCCCAGTATATATGCTTCTGATTGGATCCCCCAGGGTCCCTCTGGATCCCCCAGAGCCCGCGGCGGCCCCAAGGGATCCAACACGTGACCCGGGATCCGCAAATGCCGGACCAACGGCTGGGCCCCTGAGCCCATGGTCTGCTGATCACGTGTCCGTGACAATAAGTTCGTTTTGTAATAAAATGCGTTTCGTTACGCAGAGACAAACGTTATTTTTTTAATAATAATTTTATAAATTTATTAAAGAAAAAATTTGTAAAAATTTATAAAAAAAAAAAAAAAAAAATTATATTTTATTATATAAATTTATATAATAATATTATATTTATATAACGTAATATTACGATCACGGGACTAGTGGGCCTCAGGCTGCACGCTGGATCACGTGATAGAGTTTTACTCTCCTATAAAACTTTAAGGAATAATAAAACTCTAGGAAGGGGTTTTACTCCACAACACTTGTTACGGTTATAGAGTCACGTGCCCGCTACGAAATACTCACGTGACCGCTCGCTTGTATATATGCCCTGCCTTCCGGCGCTTCCTTCCTTTCTTTCCTCTTTACTTTTAGATTCTAAGAGATAGCCGAATCGATACTTCGTCTACGTACTAAGCTTCCTACTATACTATTATAATATTACGATTTTATTTTTTTATTTCTCGTTTTTTTTTTTTTTATTTTTTTTTTTTTTTTTATCGCTATAATAGTACGGTAGGAAGCTTAGTACGTAAACGAAGTATCGATTCGGCTATCTTTTAGAATCTAAAAGTAAAGAAAAAAAGAGGAATAAAAGAAGAAAAGATCTAGATATATATATACTAGGGGAAAGAGATGTTATATAAGAAGCTAAGCCCCAATTGGCTTAAAGCTAGGGAACGCCACTATTTCCGACCTAATCTTTGTCGCGGGCGATTAGGCAGGCGATTAGGTCAGGTAACAGGCGATTAGCTAAGCGATCTAGGTGGTCCGTAATAATCGCGAGCGATTAAATAAATAATTAAATTAAACGATTCGTAATATTAAAATTTTTTTTTTAAAAAAACAACGTTTTCGTCGTTTAATTTATTTCTTCGTTATTTTTTAATTTATCGTAATTATTACGTTTTTCGTCGTACGTTTTTTACTAAGCACGAAGCGTTTTAAAAAAAGTCGCTTTGTATTACGAGCAAGGAACACGATAGGCTCAGCAAGCGAGCTTATTAGAGATACTTCGGAATAAGAAAGTTTCAGATGCACGAGATCAGCGATCATGTGATTAAAGTAGACTAAGGAGGATTAAAGGGAACGAGGACCTTTTGTCTTAGTCCCCTCGTTCCTTCTCGGCTCTGAGTAGGAAGGTTCTATATAAGCAGATAGT